ATTCGAGAGGTTGAGGGATGAAAAAGTTCCACCACTAGAACGAATAGGACCCCCAAAAACAAAATTTATACCATCAACAGAATAAGGGATGAGTACCTGCGTCTCAGCGACTTTCTGATAAGCTTCCTCCATTAAAGGAACTGGAGCAAACTTCTGATTATTAATCTCCAGCAGGCTAGATGCCAATAAGGGAAGGGGTGGGGCCGAAAAGTCAGAAAATTTGGAAGAGATTGTCATTTCAGTTACTGGTAGCTTAAAGGAAAACAGGGAGGTGCAAGGATGAAGGCAAAAGCGCAGGTAGAAGATGAAGTTGCAAAGGGTTAAAGTTCGCGTAAAAAGCCAGGGTAAAAAACCAATAGAGTTTAAAAGGGAAAACTACCTAGGGTGTTGGAAACGACGAAAGCGAGGGCAATTAATGTGGCGTGTACGGTGAGACAGCAAACTGACGTGATGGTAACATAAAGTAGAAAAACCCTAAAACCCCATAAACCCTAAAAACCCCAGAAACCCTAAACCCTAGATTATTGTGGGCCTCCAATAAGCGAAGGCGGGAATCATGTTTAAAGAATATAAACGGAAACTATTTATATTCTTCCAAGGGGGCATTTTGTTAGTAAGAGATCAATAAAAAGATCGAAAAAGTGAAGGGAAGCAAAAATCGAGAACTATACAATTGATTGAAAAATCGATAAAATTGACAAGACACCTGGTGACCACAAAGATAAAAACATATCGAGTATTGAAATCGAGAATCGAGGGAATAACGCTTAACGTCCGTTGGTGAAGAAAATCAAGAAATCAAAATCATGTAACGTTAAGGATATCGAGAATCAAAAGCAATCCAAAACTCTCGAAGTCTAAATCGAAGGGAAGGCTAACATACGCGAATATCGAAATTTTGGCTAAAAAGAACAGTCGACATATACATCGAACATAGTAAGCGGTGGCAAAGGCCGAAGGTCAAGGGAACAGTTACCTCATGCATGGGAACGTGGATGCAGTTTCTAAACCATAGAGCTAGGAGCAAAACTGCAAAAAGACGTGCACAGAGAACGTGGTAGCAGTTTTCGTTAACTGCTCTTAAGAAACTACTTGAAAAGACACTATAAATAGAGCGAAGGATGAGAGGGGAGGGGGTGGAAAATTGGCAGAGAACAGAAATACTAGTGAGAAGTCTACCGGAGAACGACGAACATCATAAGTTTCTGGCGATCTGGATTTCCACGCTCATTGAGTACCTTTACCGCTTTCTTTATTTTCCTTGGTAATTTACTTTGTTGCAGTTTATGTTTAGCAACTTTAAGTTTCTGTGTTTTCGATTCCTAGTCAATTTCAGTTTAATGGAAGTTAAGTTTTCTGCATTTAAATTTTTTTGTCCTTTAACTTTGATGCAAATTCGATTTCCAGTTATTTACTTTTTCTGCGTATTTCGATTTCTTGCTATTTACATTTCTGCAATCTCGATTTCCCGTTAGTTCCGCAATTTCGATTCCTTGTCGTTTACACTTAATGCAAGTTTAAGGTTTCCGTACTTTACATTTCTTCGCAATTTATTGTTCGGTACTGCTTCTTTGATTTGATATTTTACTGCTTTTTTCTCTTCGAGTACTATAAATACAAAATACCAAAAATAGTGTTTTCGATAAGTCATGACACGTTAGTAGGATTTTCTCGATATTGTGATCTTTTCAATTCTCATATACATTTTGATTGAAAAAATATTTGCTAGGCTAAGTAAAAAGAACTTGCGTGGTTGAGTTTTGGTTAGAACAAAATCTCTTAAGAATCGGAATCGATCGAAATTCCACCAGAAACAGATACTAATCAATTTACTAGTTATTTTTCCATTTTTTTCTCTCATAAATACTTATACATTCTTGAGATTATACGTAATAAGAAAAAATAATTTTTAATTACTAGCGTTCTTCTCTTCCTTCTTTTATATTCGATTTTCTATCAAAGCATTCCTCTTCGATTTTTTACTTCCCTTTATACTCGATATTACATTAACGCACAATAATTAATTTTTTGATAACCGAAATACGTGCAATTGGTTATTAAAACACAAATTGTGTATATACCATACAAGATGTCAAAGACCACATTTCGTACATGGTTCAACAAAAATAAATGATTATTAAATATTTTCGCGGTTAATACTATACCTAATTAAATGAATTTAAGTACATTTTTATTTTCTTTTTAAATTAGTAATTTTAGCATTTATAAAAAAGTTAATGACATATTTATCTTTTTATTTTTTAGAATTTAAAAATAATTTTGTATGAATATATCATTTAGTTATAAAACATATATATTTATTAAAAATTCTCATATTTTTATGTTAATAAATTTTGTAATTCTTTACAAAATATTTTTATAAATACGAATAAATAATTAAATTTTTTTATAAAAGAGTATAAATGATTACTTAATATATATTTTTCTTCAAATATAATAACAATTAATTTGTTTTTTCCCCGGAAAATAGATTAAGCATAAATTATTATAATTAATAAAAGTTTATATTATAATATTATTTGATATATAATTAAAGATGAAAAAACGGATTAAATATAATAAATCGTTTCATTAGTTCACCTCAAATTGATGAAGTTAATATGAATATTTATTCGGATTAATTTGCCTTATCCAATTTGTCAATAAGCAAGTAAAAAAGAAAGGAAGATTGAGAGTCTCACTTATTTATTTTTAAACAATATTTATATATTAAAATAAAAATAATTTATTAAAAAAATTAATAAATATATAAATATTTAAAAATATTTATATGAAATACTAAATGACAAATTATGATTTACAACTTATTTTAATTATAATAGGTCATTCTATCTTAATTTTTTTTTAAATCATATATGAAATGATACGAATAAAATTTATTTATCCATTTTACCACTCCAGTATAACATCAACTTTTGATAGGTGATAAAAATAATATACTGTTTTTAATTTCAAATTATAATAAAACTTATATTTTAAAACATCTATCAAACATTGGAAAATCAAAATACATGAAACAAAAAATCAATATTACTTAATGATTAAAAATTAAAACAAATGCGACCATATTAATCAGTGACATCAAGATACAAAATTTTTAATCTTAATCCACGTAGGCGTTTATGTATTCAATTGGGTGACCTAACTTCACCCTCTTTTCGTTCTCAATGAAATTTATCTGAAAATTATTGACTTTTAGATTATGGTCATTCAAACATTTTATCTCACTAACTAATTTTATTTAAATTATGATTAGTTTTGGTGGGTTTCAATTTTAAAAGGAGATTAGGTATATATTGGAACAATTATTAAACTGGACCCTCTATCATTTTGAATCGTCTTATATAATTTAGAAAAATAACAATGTTTCAATGATTACGAGTATGAATAAGATTTCTTAATGTAACGAATCATCTCTTACATTAACGGATAAAATTATAACTAACGTCCATCGCCTATGACGATAAAAAATAATCCCGAAATGAGTTGACAAATAAAATAAAAAAATGTTGGAAAAAAATCTCAAATAAAATCAATCACAAATATTTTAAATTAAGATCAATTGAAAAAACAAAATAATAATAATAATAAATTGATCGATACATATATAAATCAACAATAAAATAATTCTAATGATGTCATCTAAAAAATAATTACGGTCAATTTTAGCCTAAATAAAATATATTCAACACTTTTAAAAAAAATTTATGTGTAGTTGATAATATTTGCACCTCAATGGGTCAATTTTTATTTTTTTATAATATTGAGTAATCAAATTATTACTGTCATAAATTTATAAATTATAAATTTTTATTTTTTTCACTAAAATGATATACTATCTCACAAAATATTTTTAATTTATATATAAATAAATGATCTCATTGGGTGATAGTTTAAATCCATTGACACAACATAATTTATTAGAATATGAATGATTTATGATATAATTACTTATAAAAATGACATAGGATAATTCATTTTAAATAATACATATTTATAGAAAACTTGAGAGATTATAATGGGTGTTCCTCTTAAAATTAAGTCACGCAATGCATGTTGTAGTTCACTTCACCTGCATGTTTAATTAACAAATATAATAATAGTATTTACAAAATAAGTTTTTTCTATTAATTAAATAAAGTAGATGATTTAGGACTTTGGAAGTTTTGAAATAATAAAATGATAGGAGTTTTTATCTATTTTTTTTAACTTTTAAAATATTTATTTATCAAATATAAATTAATTACAATTTCATTAATTATTATCTTTAATTTTGGAAAATTTTTATTCTATATTTTACTATCACATTTTTAATTCTCTTGCATTTTTACCTACCATTAAATATCTAACTACACGTTTTAGCAAAGTTTAAATAATATTGTTTTATTACATTTTTTTTATAAAAATAACGTTATTTATTATTTAAAACCTTTTTTTCGCTATGTATGTCTTAGATATTTAATAAATCAATAAAATGTATATAAAAAAGTAAAATGATAAAGCATGTTAAAAAGAATAGATGATATAATTTGTGAAATAATAACATTGAATAATAAAATATCATGAAATATTATATAAATAAACATTTATTCCAGAAATTAAAATAATAATATTAATTAAAAGTATACCATTACCAACGAATTACGTTAACCGTTGGGAAATATAAAACGTTACAACAGAGTGTTTTGATTATTCGCTCTGTAATAAGCAGTTTACGATCGAAAGTTAAAACTTCCCGTTCCCGTGACAACTCAATCTTTCTCTTTCTTTTCTTTCTCACCTAAACCCTCTTCTCCGTTTTCCTTTCTCTCTCTACAAAACCCAAACTCTGTGTTGAGAGAGAAGAATTTCGATTTGGATTTTGATTGAGCAAAAGCGTGACACCATCACCACCACCACCACCGAACTGTTACCAGATCTCTCACTTGCAACAACCGAACTCCAAAACCCTACCGAATACTTAATTCAGATTCTCATCCATGGGGCAGAAGTCTCTGATTTACGCGTTCGTGTCCCGTGGAACTGTAATTCTCGCGGAGTTCACGGAGTTCAGCGGAAACTTCAACTCCATCGCGTTCCAGTGCCTTCAGAAGCTCCCTGCCACCAACAACAAGTTCACCTACAACTGCGACGCTCACACCTTCAATTACCTCGTTGACAATGGCTACAGTATGTGCTTTTTATGTGTTTTTCAATTTTTGTGATGATGTTGTTTCGGTTTGTTGCCGAATGTGCTTCTGGATCGTTTATTTTAGGGTTTTGTTTGTTGGTGAAACTAATTTGTGTTGTTACGTATGCGTAAAACTTGTGAACAGTAAACGTGAGGCTTATATAGATATCTGCTGCTTTAGGAATGTGTTTTGTAGTTATTGGGGGAATGCAATGGTTATTCAGCTTAGGTATTCTTCTTGTACGAAGTTGTTAATGGTGCGCAAGACAATTAAATTGGGGAGCGTTTTGGTTTTGCGGATGTCGTGCCAGAAATTGCGAATATTTGTGAATTTTGGTGGCTGTGGTTGTGAATAATCAGCTGTTAAAATATGTTTTCTCTCCTTCCCTGCATTTTTCTGTGTTGTGGTGCCTGTTTTTGGAGGATAATTTTATGATTTCACCCTTTTTTATCAATAGTGTGTTGTGTTCAAAATCCCTATTTCAAAACTCTTTTCTGTTATCACCCACATCCTTATCTGTTTTTACACAATCCTTTTGACGCAATGCTAGTCAACATACCAGCCAACTGATCCAAGTCCTGCAAGTCATTCCTCTGTTCTGCATGTTCTCTATAACACGATCCAGTTTCCACGCAAGTATTTTTCTCTCTCACAGTCTTACATAGGTCTTGCCAACGGTCTTCCTGTTTTCTGCTGTGGCGTGGCTCACCATTTAGTTTTTATTTTTTATTTTTTGAGTTTACTTTCAAGTTTTCCAATTTTCATTCCTTCGAATATCATTCTTTGGGATAACATGATGCCTGCCTATTTTTTAAAAGATGTATTTGGTTAACAACTTAAATTTGTGGGAATCTTATTTATATTCCTGGGAATAATTAAAATGTGTTTGGTACATATTATATTTTCTTGGGAAAGTAGTTTAAATCATCAAAATTCCCCTACTATGAAAAATATGCTAATTTATTAATACAATGCATGAAAAAATAAGATAAATATCACAAGTGCATTTTAAATAAATGCTTATCTTTATAAATTATTATAATTTGGTGTAAATTATCGTTGACTATTTTTTATCAATTTACTCTTGAATTTTTTTTTCCTATGCAAATTAAAAGAGTCTATACCTTCCATTAAAAGCCAACCAAGATATTGACATGAAACGCTAGGTATTAATAATATTCATAATAATAATAATATTTGGGTATATATTGTAATATATTTTTGGTATTATTAAAATCAATCTGGATCCTCTTCTATTGATAGGTTTTGTTTGATAAATTTACTATTGTTTACCATTTATTACTTAATCTACGGTTGAAATAGAAACCATTTTAATTTGTTAGTTTTTATTTCAACCGTAAATATTAAGTAGTAACCATAATAATTTATTAAACAGGACCTCTCCTGTTAACAATCATCAGGAGAGGAACCAAATTCTATTAAAATGCATACACAAAATGCTATAATACATAATACATTACTAAATCATGCTATGACAAACTGGTGTAGTTCCATAAATCTAGGATGTGCAACACATGAAGCCGTGAAAACAATCTGACATTAAAAAGGTAGATGTTTAATCCCATTCTTTAGTAATAATTTGTAAAAAACATTTCCACCTTCTGTCTTATAAAATCCTAAGGATAATTCGAAAGTAAACATAGCAATATGAGTAGTGTAGGTAGTAGTATAATTGTGGCAGTAACACTAGCGAAGCAACAGAAATGAAAATGATAACAAAAGCTATGATTAGTGGACTTAATAATATTATGCAGGAAATAGATTATGTTAACATAAGTATCCTGAATGACAGGGTAGTGGATCAAGGGTATTTTTGAATTTTACCAAGCAACATGGATTCCTATCCCCTTCCTTCAGGAATAGAAGTTGCTTGAACCTGGGTATATTACTTTCTTAGGAATAAAATATGCCCAGGAATAATTATTTATTACCTCTTAGCAAACATGGGAATACATTTTACAATCTCATATTCTCGGGAACAAACAAGAATTGGGTAACAATGTCTCCTTTAGGCTTAAACTTGTTTGTTTAGCATTCTGTTGACTTCTGTTATTATTGAATTATTATTTAGCTGAAGACTATAACTTATCTTAAGTTTTATTTCCAATAACCTATATATGTTAACTAAACATATTTTAGTTTATTAAAAATACAGAAGAACAGTCATCCAACAATCTATTATCTTACTATTGTCTTTGAGAGTTCTGGCCACAAAGATCTGCTGTCTAAGATTGATAACTATGTTACACTTCTATTTTTATGTTTTTTTTTCTTCTAGTTTTATCAACTGATATTTGCTTGTACAGGTGAAGCTTAAAATTGTTGAAGATTGGTATTTTCTGAAATGGCTTACTTTTGGAATTTTGTAGCATATTGTGTTGTTGCAGATGAATCAATTGGAAGGCAGGTGCCCATGGCTTTTCTAGAGCGTGTCAAAGATGATTTTGTGTCAAAATATGGTGGTGGAAAGGCTGCTACGGCTCCTGCGAACAGCCTTAACAAGGAATTTGGGTATTATGTTTAGGGTTTTAAAGTATATAAGCCAGTGGGTTTCTATTTTTGTTTTAGCTAATGTGTTAAGCTCTTACCCAGGCCAAAGTTGAAGGAACATATGCAGTTCTGTGTTGATCATCCTGAAGAGGTCAGCAAGCTTGCGAAGGTGAAAGCTCAGGTTTCTGAAGTTAAAGGTGTCATGATGGAGAATATTGAAAAGGTACAACGCACTACTTAGTTTCACTAAGTTAAGATTATAGTACCATAGAAACTGATGAGATTGGTTGAGACAATAATTTTTACCGATAAATATACATGTTCTGACCATTTAAATTCCTAAAATAAACAAAGACAACAACACTGAGTGAATCTCTGCACAAAGCTGAACATGATGAGTCTATTTTGTATGAAGTTCATGAATTGTGCTTGTAAAGCATTGGTATTTCTATGGATCACGCCGAGGCATATTGGATGCTGGTCCTTCATAACTATATGTAGATATTGTCTTTATTACATTTGGGATCTGAAGTGATTATCAAATCTTCTTATCCCCAAAAGGATGATGGTTCATGTATGTGATGTCCAACTAGAAAGCAAATGAGATTTTTTATTGTGATCTTCAAGTAGCTAGGTTGCATAGTTGGGCAAAGAGGACCAGGGCAGGGGAGTAGGTACCAAAACCATTATGCCCTCCATTTCCATTTTTATGTTGTACCCATTTCCCATGTTTATTGTCTACTGTCTAGGTTTTAATAGGCTGAGCCCAGCTACAATAAAAGAAGGTTACTGGAATGCATTTAAAAAGCTGAGTGCTGTCATGATATTGCAATAAGACAGATATCAGGCACTGTTTTGATAGAGAATGAGAAGTGGTCGGTGATGTTAGAGTAAAAGAAAGGGCAATCTAGTCTAATTGTTGGATTGTGAAAATGCTTATGCTTAGTTTAGATGGAAAAAGTGGGTTTCTTAGTTATTCTCAACTGTTATCATTCTGGGTCATGAATGGTGAGCCTAAGGCTTGGTTTCAATTGGGCAGTCGGGAGTTTGGTAAGGGAACTTTCCACCTACTTGTCTCCTCAGTAGTAAGCCATAAAGATTTTAATAGCTGTTGATACTTGATAGGAATCAAGGGTATTAGAGCAGTTGAGCCAAGGTCATGTTGTCTTTCTTACTAATGGTCATTACTTGTTGTTAGAGGAGCAGTGTTATTTTGAATGCTCAGTCTGTCCATTGGATCTTTGAGGCTAACTAAAAGTAATTAGGCTAATTTAATTATTTGGAAGACCAGAAATTGTGTAAGGCAAACGATAGGAAGTGTGAGAAAACTAAGAAAATGAGGAGAGAACTCGGATATTTATGTGAAATGTGTATTTCAACAGACTGTAACAGAACAGTGACAGTAGAGATATCTAAAGTAACTGTAGGAAAATTAATTAATAGAAGTACTGAGCTGTGAGCTAGCTTATGTATCAGCTGGCTAAATTACGTAATAAGAGTGTTATAGTGATCTAACAAGTACTCTAATAATCCAGACTAATTTAATAGTTATAACTGTGAAATGGCGGCATGTCATGGCACCAAGTTGCAGCAGTAGTTTCATCATAACATGTTTTAGCACTGTGTGTAGTAGCTGTGATCATGTCCTTGATGGTCACCTCACTGAGCAGGAGTGAAAAGCTTGCCTTGTGCACACACATATTGGTTATTTGGGCTCCATTTTGCAGAGTTTCTCAATCTTTCTGCGTTTAATGATTTTTAGGTTAGACACCCTGGTTCGATCAAAGAAAATTTTATTCTCTACATGTTTCTAAATTCTGGCAGATACCTCTCAATTTTCAGGCAGCCAAATCTGGACCCTTGTCTCATTTTCCAGTCAATTCTAGCAATCGATTGCTTTTCTATCCAGTTCTTTGTGTTATGTGTCTCTGCTATGTTCATTGTGTTATTTGACTAATAATTCTTCACCTATTTGACAAAAGTAGCTCAAATTGTCTCATTTCTTTGTTCTGTCATAGTTGTCCGGCATTTATTGCTCATCATTGGCCTTGGCGTCAATGAAGTATTTTCATGTAATATTTCTCTTTAATTTCAATTCTATCTATTTCTAGGTTTGGAAAACGTTGTTTTTCCTGCTCCTGTTGCTTTTATCCATGTCTTAATTTATTTTGTTTGCTGAGTTGTGAGCTTTTCTATTGTACTGTATAATATAAATTATTTGCATTGTATTCACTATCTTTGGTGAGGATTTCCATCCTGTTTACTGCGTCCATATATTAGATTTTGAAGTTTATTTTTTCTAATGAGTTTGAGCAATATTGTGCCTGTGTAGTTCCAATTATTTTGCATTTTATTAGACTATTTGCTATCTATAGAGTATAGCGAGTTATGGGATGGCTGCTCCGCATGGCTGTATGGATTAGCAACTGTGATTTGAATTTGGATGCTCATATTTTGCTTCTAACACTAGTTGTCAAATCTTACCGCAATCCCTTAATTGTATTGTTTCTTTGAAATTGCAATCCTTGACCTATATCATTTTGGGATCAGGTCATTCACAATATTTGAATTCTTTGACAAGTGGAAGGGTTCTTTCTTTCTTTCTATGCCTTGGGCAGTTGGATTAATTTTAAGATTTTGTCTCATTCCTTTATTACTTTTTGCTATTTTATTGTTATGGAAGTGACTTAAATTAAAGATCTGATCATGATGACAGAAAAGAGATTGTTATTTAGGGGTTTGCTGAACCTAAAAATTAGGGTGTTAATTGGGTTGGGTAACTCGAGAACCGAATCCATTCATGTAGATTGATTTGAGTTTCCTTTGAGCCAATCACAATTTAACCCAATTTCCTACAGGTTTGCTGATGATTTTATATATTTAATCCGGAACCCATTCCAACTCATCCAAAAAAAAAATATTAAAGTTTATAATAATAGTAATATGACTATTATTTGATTTATTCAATTATTATATTAACTAAATATGTATTTTAAAATATTAAATTATCAAGTTATTCAAATATTAAATAATGTAGTCTATTTTTAAAAATCTAAAATGTGTTTCGTCATTAAAATTTTTATTAAAAAATATTTTTAAAATTCTGAAATCTAATTGACCTAATCCAATCCAATTTAATCTAAGACGTGTTAGGTTGGATTGAGTTTAACAAAAAAAAAAATGCAAAAATTCGATCTGATCCAATCTATTGGGTGATGATTTTGGTCAAGCCTGAGTTAACTTTTTGAGCTAAAAACAAAGTGTTTTTAAGCTACGCATGTCTGTTTTAGTTAGCTCTACTTCTATTCTACCAAATATTAATTCACCTAAGCTGCAGAAATTATGCTTATCAATGACATAATAAAAAGGAGTAAGTTTTGGGCTTCTTCCATGTTATTACAATGTCCATTATTATCTACCTATGCTTTAAGACAGGCTACGACAAGATTATTGCGGTGATCCTTATTGAGAGAAGAAAATTGCCGTTAATTGGATCAATATGTCTAATGTACAAAGGCATTTGATCAAGTTGTATTGACATTTATAATTTAATGTAGGTTCTGGACAGGGGTGAAAAGATAGAGCTTCTGGTGGACAAAACAGAGAACCTTCATAATCAGGTTAGTATGTACCATGTGTTATGAAGTATGTATGTGAAAGGAGATTTATTTCTTTTTTTGGTGGCTGAATCATTTTTTGAAATGAATGCTAGCTATAGCATATTTCTAAATTTTGAAACGAGATTCGTCACTTTTGGTGTCTTCATTGTCTCAGACTAGCTAGTTACATCCACTTTTATTTTTAAAGAATGACTTGTATATCTTCCGGTTTACAGCCTGTTCTTTCTCCACATGGCAAATCAAAAAGAAAAGTCTCGGATCCCGATTTCCATATGTTTTCATTTCTTTTTCTTGGCTTTTGATTTGGATTTGGTAGTAGTACAAAATTATATTTTACCATTTTGAGGAAAGAAATATATTTTTTTTCAGGCACAAGATTTCAGGACTTCTGGAACCAGAATCCGTAGAAAAATGTGGCTGCAAAACATGAAGATAAAGCTGATTGTATTGGGAATTTTGATAGCACTGATCCTTATAATTGTCCTATCTGTGTGTCGTGGGTTCAGCTGTGGAAAATAAGCACCATTATCCGAGTCCCTTTATCATGTTATTTCAACCTTGAGATTATGAGGAAAGATCCTAATGTATGGCATGAGTTTGTATGTAATATATAGATATAGATAAAGGTCATATGTTGGTGACTTTTTTCTACTTATAAATGCTTTTGAATATATTGGGTTGTCAATTTGAAGTTCGATTTCCATTTTATTCCGTCATCAATCATGTAAATGCGTTCTTTGATCTTTATTCTTTTTAATGATTCCAGTTACAGTATTTTGCATTGTCGACCTTCAGATTTATTGAACCCTGGCCTTCCAAAGTTATTATTTCTTTGGAAGTAATGCTATACTTTTGAGTGAGAGTTTCAGTGTATCAATGGAAATTGAGTTTCATGTTAATATTTATGTCTAATTTTGCATTGTCGACCTTCAGATTCATTGAACCCTGGCCTTCCAAAGTTATTATTTCTTTGGAAGTAATGCTACACTTTTGAGTGAGAGTTTCAGTGTATCAATGGAAATTGAGTTTCATGTTAATATTTATGTATATAATTTTTAGTTTATTGAAGACTTAAATCTTAGTTTTCACTTCTGCAAATGTCATGTTTTACTTCTAGTCAGTAGATTATTTTTGTTTTGGTGTTAGCCTCAAAAAGGTCTACCACATGTGAATATTGCGAGTCATGTCATCTTCTTAGTGCTAAATATTTTCATTACACTAACATTAACAAATTACAGTAATATTTTTAGACCATTATTTATTTATCTTTTTATTCGAACTCTATCAGAAGACTTGGTCCGTGGCTGTATATGGTGGGTGGGGATGGGTTTCCAACAGAGCAGTAGGGCTTAGGGGAAAATCTGATAAACTTCTCATCACCAAAGCAACTTCATTTTCTCTACTGTATGACCTGTGTCTGACAATTTTTTTCATCATTATGAATATTTCATTTCATTTTTAAAAATCCATTATGAAAATTGTTTTATGCAATAATGTGACAAGTAGTAAGTGTAGGTAATTCATGAATTGAAGGCACTGTTCTTACAGCACCTACTCAATTAAGAAAATAAATTTGATTTTCATAAAAATAAACACATTCTTGCTATAGACTGGAATTGACTCTTTTCCTATAATTGTAAGAACAACACATGTCACAATTAATGCTTAACAAGGAAAGAAAAAAGAACAAACTAAAAAAATTGATCTATCCATTTTCCCCCTATAACTAGAAATTCCAAAGGTTCCAGATGAACAAAAATCTGCAAAGTTTTATTATTAAATTTATAGGTTCCAGATGCAAATTGGTAAAGTACAGTACACTTTACAAGGTCAAAAAGCCTAACTTTCAAACTCACGCATCATGTGTTGAAAAGTTTTCTTTGGTTACAATTCAACAAAAGTTACATGTGGGTTCTCATGTCGAATAGCCCAAATCATTTATCTTAGTCACCATGGCCCAAACCATTCAAAGTTTTCTGTTAGAATATCTTACAAACATAGGTTCTTCCTTAATGATTCACACATGTCAACACAATAGACACCAAATGGTAGATTCTAGTAGAGATTTCAATTGTTGAAAATTGATCTGAAAACATGCATGCATGTTGAAGATAATTTTAATATCTTCTCTGTTCATAAACAATTCACCCCAGAAGTCAAACTATATAAGTTAGTCAAATTTTCTGATACCACTAAACCAAATTTGTAATCAAATGACGTAAGACATCATCCCTTCAATCAAGGACAATTCTTCAAACAACAACTATGACCATTTATTTATTCCCAACAACACATTAGGAGAAGAAAAAAGAAAGCCACAAAACCGTTGTAAATTTGTCATTGTGACTTGCGAGGCATCACTTTTAACACGTTCTTCTTGCAATAGGTTACACCAATTTTTCAAATAAAGGAAGCAGCTTGTAAAGCTTAACTTTCATATTAAACAACAAATTCAATTCACGGTTATCAAATACCTTCTTTTATAACCTTCTTATGTTATTGTTATTTATGTGGTTACACCTCAAATAATTTTTAGAAAGTCAAGAAGATATTTTGTTCATCGTGTAGGCTGCTCCACGGGTCAAGTCAGGTGAAGAAGAAAAACTGAAAATAGTTGACATTTGAGAGACGTTATAGCAGGAAATAATGGACTAAATTATACAATCTTGGATATAATAACAAACATGTAATTACACATGACATGAATTAAAAAAAGAAACATTACACTTGGTGGAATTTTATATACGAGGAGGCACATAAGATGAGGATAATGAATTTATTAATTGTCCTATCTCTCCCATTCAACGTTTCACCTAACTATGGTTTTTCATCCAAATGAATAACTTGATTCCTTGCTTCTAAGTTAGACTGACCCTGATGCAGATGAGAACCACAATAAATTAAGTTCATATATACACAACTTGTGAGAAGGGTCAGGCACATGAAATGGTCTAAATCAGCTTTAAATAAATGGGTGTAGTTATTGAAAATGACATGATTGCAAATTTGCATAGTATATCATAAATGTCCATCCCCAAAACCGTTTTTATCTTTTCATTGTTTTCCTGAAAAGACAGGTCCATTAGGGTGTGTTTCTTTCCTTGCACATATGGTTGATTTTGGAGGTTACACAGAAACAAGCCAAAACTAAAGTAGTGGTTGATTATGGGTGAAAAGTAAGTATTTGGGGTGGCTAAAGGTGCTTGTAGGACCAAATCTAATTGCCATGAATTGAACAGATTGCAAATATCAAACTATTCTGTCCTTTTCTGGTCATCAAATTCTTTGGTTTGATTTGAACCTGATTTGCCATCAATGACTGTCTTTTTCTTTTAATAAGTATGTTACCCATCATTATCTCAAGAGACTTAAAATAAAAGCAATTAAGGAAACCAGATAATTATTTCTCTTGTGGTTGAGTACAAGCTCATGATTCCATCACAGCATGTTATTTGGCATCACAAACAACAAGATCAAATTGTTTAATATCTTCTTCCAGATCAAAAGATGCATTGCATGTGTCTTCTTCACACACAGTTACTACTCAAGCAAATACTTCAGCTAATGGTTAGTTTTATACCAATCTTTGGGAGATTTAAAATAAATAAATAAAATTGTTTTTAGGGATTTTGATTTTGTGAAAATGGTGATGATGTACAGGTCAACTTTCCACAAAATTTAAGGACAATATTTTAAATACTTTTCTTGTATTTTTAATTGAAATAAAAATGCCATTTTGAAAAATAAAATCCAAATGAAATTTTAAATTCTGTTCTTCTATTTTCTTTCTTTATACACTGTTGTGATAAAGTTCTAAAACATGCTTGCGTGCCATATGGGTTGTTGCCCAAAACATGCTACTAACAATAAGTGATTACATAATCAATTACCTAAATACAAAAATTGGAACCATAGTGTGAATTAAACAAATGAATCATGTTTTCTTTTTTCTTTTAATGCAGCTTGGCCCTTGTGCTTGGTCTCTGAAAGAGACCTACAATAGTTGAAATTGCGTCACTTCTTACAAAAACCATGGTGGTGCATTTTTCATGGGTTTCCACTTGTGCTTCTTCCAAAGAAAAATGCATAAAATAAAATAAAAAATTAATTGAATCACATCATGAACTTGGTGAGTAAAGCCAAACAAGTACTCTTCCATGAGTTGATAAATTGTTTTAAAACTCTCAGAGGAAACAAAAAAACAATCATCCATCTATGTCACCACAAGAGGTTCATGCTAAGACTGGTCCACACCCTATCCCTTAAAGGGTCCAATGTGATTTTTTATATATATATATTTTTCTATAGTTTCATTAAAGTACGTGACTCGTGACAACACTAGCTAGGAATTATTAATACTTTATATACTATTATATTATAATATTATAAAGTTTTGTTTTTTATAACATGCACAAATTGGTGGCTATCGTGGTGATTCAGGAGCCTCCAAAAGAGAAATTGGAAGAAAGTGATGCACACCATTAATCTCCCTCACTTTGCAAACTTTTTCTTATCTTGTCTCTCTTCCCAACCCTAATAATGCTTCTTTTTCAATCTGCTCTTCTGTCAATGAACATTGTTGGGTGTGTTCCTTCATGGCTTTGTATTGAATTATTTTTGTATAAGAAACGAAACGAAACATGTTTTGAGGTTTTACTTTACGTGAAGGACCAAAATTGATTGAATATGATAAACAATGAGAAGAAAGTGGCCACTTATCTCCAAGAAGTTTCCGGGGGGAAAAAGGATTGCATCATGGTTTTCATCATCACAAGTCTAAGAAATTAAATCATTTTTTAAAACAAGGACAACAATGATGGATCACTAGACTACCACTGAAATAATTGATGCATAGAAAACTAGAATTTTGATTATCTTAAAGTCCATAATTGTAATATTGCCATTGAAATTAATTTTCATGGTTGCTTGTTGATTTTAGGAGAAGGAAGGAGTCATCATCACATGGGGGTTGTGAACACATTAAAGTAATTCATGAACATGTTGAAAGATAGTGAGTGTATAAGTTTTTCATATCAAGAAAACTAGCCATTTTGTTCTTTTCCTTTTCTTTTTTGGACTTTTGCTTTGTCCTTCACTATTATTAATAATCACCCATGGAGTGTCCACAACATTAAAAGCCACAATATTCAATTGTCCTCTTTTTTTCTTTTTTTCTGTACAATTTGTCCTTCCTTCTTAAATACGTGCTCCTATTTTCCTGCATATAGTAAGGGGCACCATTAAGGGTATACCTAAACTATGCAGTAATATTCTCTCTTTTTTTTATTGTTTTTTATAATTAAACCGATTTTTTTGTTTTTTTTTTCTTTCTTGGGTACCCTTTTTATTGAATAGATTTTTTTTATCTAAAGTTCCAATCTTTAAGTTAAATTTGTATTTTTTTTATTGCAAAATTAAAAACCCAGTTGAAAAATCAACTCAAGATAGAATTGATGAGTAGTGTTAGTAGTTATCCAGTTAGTGGCAGTAACAAGCTAAGAATCAGATTAACATTATCTACAATTGAAAAGTCTTCTTTAGTGAAGATTCATAACACAAGTACACTGGTGTGTTTTATATATGAACAATTATTAGATCACATGTTCCTTTATTAACACCCATAGAAAAAAGCCAAGCATGATATGAGAACAATTGATTAATGGGATCTGATCTTCTTTCTGAGGCCAAAAAAAAAAAAAAACTAACAAATCATTAAATTATAGTGTCTCTTTTTTTCTTTTGCTCTTTAAGATATGTTTCTTGACTTTCTTATTCATCTTAACCTGTTTTGTTATTTTATGTGAAAACAACATCCTATCACGAACAATATAAATAATTGTGATCAAGTTAACTTAGGCAGGTTCGGTCATAGGAATTGAAAGCAACAGGGACATAGAACAGCAAAGATTTGCAATAATAGTAAACACCATTCATTAACTTTTGTTTAAAGAAACAACCATGTTGGTTAAGGTAACAATTACAATTTAAATAATAAGATGTTGTTGTTTTCTTTTCTATTAGGTCTATCATCACTCAATTAATTAATCAAAAGTCCAAAATCTAAAGCTTTTTGGGACCCTATGCTCTACTTTTACTTTTCTGCAACAAAAGCATAAACCCTTTATCAAGTAATTCTGTTTAATTTATGATTTAGCTATACCCACTTCAAATCTACTCCAATTTTGCATCAATTGAAGTGGTCCTAGCTAACCCTCTTTTCAATTTCTTCACTCCATGCTAGGTCACAAGATCCAATGTAGATCCCTGCTAGTTTTTCCCCCCTCAGACATAGCAGGGTGTTAATTACTATTCATTTTTTTTTCCTTCTAAAAACACAGGTGGGTTTGCTTTTTCACATCTCAATTAAATTAAAGTTTTCCCACTTCAAAGTTTTAATATTGGAGACCCAAATCTTACAAGATCACATTCTCAGTCAAATATTTAATCAGGGTTCATGTTCTAAAAAGAAACACTGATCAATGTCCTAAGAATACAAGTTTTCATTTAAACTATCATATCATTGATTAACTTTTTTATTTTAGTTTTTGTAACAATTGTTAAATATATTCCATCTTGAAATCTTATAACCTATTTTTAACTTTAATATTCTTATAATCTCATATGGAAATTTTTTATTTGAATTGAAAATTAAATTACACATGAAGTGGGTAAAAAATAACTGAAATAATAAATATTATCTGATAGAGCATATAATAAATTCTCTCTTTTAACCTAAACATTTAGTTGAGTTTTGATTAGAGAACAAGGAAAAAGGTTAACAAAAGAGAGTCAAAGAAGAGAACACATGAAAAATCCACAATCATCTTTTCAACGTATCACAGTGATTAATTCATCTTTTCTTATACGCGGTTCATTCACACCTTTGAAAACTTTCCACAGGATCTTCATTCAAAGTTGGTTGGCATATAAATGCAACCTTAATTTCAAGGAACGAGGGAAAAAGTAAAACAACAAAAATGTCATCACAATTTCAAACCAAAGTTCACATCGTTTCTGGAAATCAGTGTTGCTGGAAACTTCAGGGAAAACACCAACCAAACTTTTTAAGGCCAATTATTTGAAAAGTTACAAGTGCTTTTTTCTAACGATCACATCGAAAAAACAATATAAAAAATGATACATTATTTATTAATTTTTACTCGGAATGATTTGAATAAAAAAATTGAATTAGGAATATTTTGTAAGACGACATTTTCTGTCACTTTGTACATTTATGTTTGGAAGGGCACATGTAAGAAGCAACTGCAACCAAACTTTGTCCCTGCAATTAGGTTTTGGAGCTGTCATTAACAAAGGACAACATTACTTCAGCTACCCAAATTAAAGCATCTCACGCCCATATACACAATTATTTCAGTTTTCAATATCCCACATACCATCATTCAATTTTTCTATTGCCATTTCCATCACAACGATGCTGCCATGCCTTGGGGCAATCAATATCTACCATCCACCACATACCAGAATAAAAAAATCACTCATCTCATGATCATAAGACTCATTATCTATAGTATTATTATAATGCACTTTATCTCTTTCTTTGTGTGTGTGTGTGTGTTTTTTTTAAGTACATCAACTTTTTATGCTTTCTTTTCTTTTAAACAAACATCAAGATTCTTTCTTTCATTGTTCATGATATATAGTACTACTCCTACCATGTTGTTTACTTCGAAGGTGGTAAAAGGTTAAATGTAAGTGTTTTTTTTTTTTTCTTTATGATCTTTGAAAGGATCTACGATACATTATTTTGATGATGATGATGGAAGAAAGCAATAAAAGAGGACATGGGAATCTATCTGTCTACATTTATGTTCTTTTTTTTTTCCACTCCATTTTTTTTATCCTCCACACATCTTTTCATTCATTGTGCGTGCTTGTGGGGGATTTAAGAATTGGAAGTGTTAGATGGGTTGGGACAAAGTGGGTGAGTGTTCCTTTTTATTCAACCCACACACACACACACACACTCGTCAAAATATATAAATAAATATTTGATCTTGGAAATTGTTCATTTTTAATGCCTTACAAAAAAACAATGAATTATGCAGGCAGAAGATGATATGTAGGTTCCATGTTAGTTGAAAGTTGAAAGCATGTTGATGTCAATCCATTCATAGATGGAGGGAGAGAGAGAGGTCCTCCTTTCTTTCTTTCTTTCTTTGAAAATGACAACTTCGTACCTTCCCTTTCCAATCAAATATCTTCTTCTCAAATCTTCCTTCCATGTTCATTTTGTTAATAAGAAATAAAAATAAATATTTATAACAAAAATCATTTTTCATTTCGCATTTATCAAGTTTTATTTTGAAATTATATATATATTTTTTAGAATTTATATATCCAATTGAAGTTTCATATTAAATAAAAATGAAACCTTGTCAAACACATACCACACAGCAAGAACCATGAAGTTGCTTTGATGGTGAAAAAGTAGTAAGTTGATCAGAATTCTTCTCTTTGACCAATTGAGCAAATGAAGGTGACTTGCTTTTGACAATTATATCATACCATCTAAACAAAGATTATACTGAGACATGCATGTACAATCACGTATCATGGCATATTTTAGAAATTTACTTTTAAGATATAAAGAAGGAAAGATTAAAGAAAATTAAGATTTTTAAATGATATAACATTTAGGAAAATATTAAAATAAAAATAAATTAATACATATATTTATTAAAATATTATATAGAAGAAGGAATTGGGTTTGTTGTCTTTTTTATTCCAGACAAAGAAGTAGAATTTTCAACATCAACCATTTTGAAAAAAAAAAAAACCCTAGACCAAACTTATCTGATAAAAGTTGGTTAAATTCTATGATTTTTCTACCTTTTAAGTATATATACGTTCAAATATGAATTTGTTGGTTTTGTTTTCATTGTACCAATATTTGTGTCGCTTTCGTAGTGGTCCCTAGAATTAGGGTTTATGAGACGTAGATTTTAGGTAAGTTCCTTGAAATATGAAAAGTTAGAGAGTGATGAAGTTAAGTTGGTCCTTAATTGGGTGTTTGTAGAGGTAACTGGCCTAACCTAATAATATACTCAGCAATAGTGGGGGCAGAGAATAAACATGTGTAAGAGGAGGTGTTTTTGATTAAAAAAATTCTAACTTTATAAAGTGAATTTATTCTATGCTTTCTTTTTATAACGTGTAAGTGATTGTGGTACATAGTAGAGGGGTTATGCCCTGCACATTCCTAGGTAAAGCCAAACATGGCATCTATATATATTAATTCAACTTTGGCAAATTGTAACCCATCATCAACCCCTTTTGCTAACCTAACAAAAAGGATTTGTCAAATGTTATTTATGATTCCCATCATTCAATTTTAAATTGAAGTAAATGGCTTTTCAAAAATACCAAATACTTACTCAAATTGTAAATCATAAATAAATTTAAATTTTTATATTAGCATAATATTTCTGGAGAATTCTTGATGGGTTCAAGAATAAAATTGAATATATTATTATTAGTCTATGAGTGATTTAAAATTTAATTATTATTATTATTTATATAATTAATTTTTTTAATTTATTTAAAAAAGATAAATTTCTTTCATTCAAAATCAATTTTTTTTATTCCTCATAAATTTTGCACAAACCTTAAAAGGAAAATGAAAAAAAATAAAATAAAATTGTGTATTGAACATGAAAGATTGACTGAAACTTATACGAAGGGGAAAAAAAAACTGTTTCATTGGTCCACCCAAATGCTGTGAACCTTCCCACACTCTATCATTCAACAATCCTCACATCATGAATAGATTTATGATTAAGTTACATATATATATATATATATATATATATATATATATATATATATATATATTATTTAAAATGATTTTGGTTTCTAAATTTTAAAAAACATCACATCTATTAAATTTTATAAAATATTTAAATTTAGTTATTTAATAAAAAAATTATTAAATATTAAATTTGTAGATACAAAAAATAATTAAAATAAAAAATTAATTATAAGATAAAAAACCATAATTAAATATTAAATTTATATAAATATATATAATACAATTTTGAAAATCAAAATTAATCAATTTAAAAATATAAATTTACTGATAAAAAATACAAGAATAAAAAACATCCTATTTCCATAGATTTATTTATTAAATAATTTTATTTTTATCTACTTAAATTTATATGATTAAAACACAACAACATATATTCACACCAGTTTTTTCAACTTAAGATTGTGTGGAAATACATTAAAAAAGTAGTACAACACAACTAATTATATTAAGTATATGATAATTTTTCAATTGTAAAAAGCTTCTATAATGAATTATAAAAAATATTTAAGTTTTTAAAATTTTATTTTTTATAATAAAAAGTAATAATAATAAAACAACATTTACTTATGACTTTATAAATAACATAAATAGTCTATTTCAAATTTTATTTTAAAATTTTGAAATCTATTTTGATTTATTTGTGAAACTATTTAAATAAAAAAAACAAAATATTATACATTATCTATACATAATCACAAAATTAATCCATATCCACCGTATTTAAATGAAATAAGGGTATATATATTTTTTGTTTTCAAAACCTTTATTCTATATAAAGACAATAATATAAGGAACCTGACAAGGAAACATCATACAAAAGGTTGTTTTTTCAACTATAAAATAGTGTTAAATCTTATGTATTTTTTTTATATCATTCACCGATAGTTTCAATGATCCAATATTATGCTCATATCATAAAATAGTTTCTAGAAGTATGTTAAACTAAAAATGATTTTATTAGTATATAAATACATACTCATAAAATACGTGTAAATATATAAATATTTAGCATATAAATATATGTAAATTTATAAATATATAAATAGTACATGTTATATATAAAATTGCCTTAACTATATTTTGTATAAATAATATCATCAAGTAAATCTTATCTATAAAATATATTAATATATACTTATGAAAAAAATATTAATACTTCTACGTAATTTTTATTTTCAACATCAATATAAACATCATTATCCTTATACATGTAAATATAAATATGACTGTAAATGTATTTATACAAATAAGTATTTACATAAATATTAATATAAATTAATAAATATATTTATAAAATAATAATAAAATATATGATTATATTTTAACAATAATAGAATTATTATTATTAATAATTAATTGCATATAATGATTATATACCAATAAATTAACATTAATTATCTTAGTACATAAAATATTAAGGTAGTGCTATCAAATAATAAATTACTGTTAATTTATGGTTAATTTAATATTAATTAAAACAATTAAGATATATAATATTAATTATTTTAATTAAGATGATTATATTATTTTGTAAGTGTGTAACTTAATTAGACAATTAATGTATTCATTATATTCTATAAAATGAAATAATTACATATATTTTATTTTTAAATTAATAGTAATTTTGGTAATACTTTTATTAAATAACTAGAATTTTCTTCTTAACAAATTATTATTCAAACGTAATTACATAAACAATATTATTTTATAATATATAATTAATTATATTTATTATTTTTTACAAATGAATTAATAACAAAATATATTTAATAAATTATGAAAAAAACCTTTTAAGTTATGTAAAGATACTAAAAGAAAGATATAATGCTTTTATTTTATATTATATATATATATATATATATATATATATATTAACATTATGCTTTAAAAATTAAAGATATTTAAGAATTTTGTTATTTGTATTTAGAGATGAAATTGCTGTTTTTAATACATTAAAATCATTTAGATTTGTAACTCTGGTAACAAAAGTATATCTAATAAAGTATTTTTTTAATTACAATATTAAAAATAAGTTATCAATGGAAGAAAATAATATTTAAAATAAAATTATAACTTAAAAGAGTAAATATAATAATTATTTTAAATTAAATATTTTTTACCATCTCAATTTTATTAATTAATATTTATTTTTAATGTTAAATTAATTATAATCAATTAGTGGAAATATAGACGATAAAGATATGTGTTTATATATATTTTTAATTATTTTTTAAAAATATTATTTTATTTTATATTTTTACTTTTTAATAATTTTTTTAATATTTGTTTACTATTTTTAAATATATAAATTATAATAATTTTATATTTCTCTCTTTACTCATAAAAAAAATATTCTTTATATATAATGATTATAGATAAAAATAATTAAACATTTAGCGTTGAGAAATATGTGGGATACGAAAAATGATAATATTTTACAGGATAAAATCATATCTAGATATGCTTACCATCTATTTCACAATTTATTTATATTACATTTCACAAACTCTTCTCTTTCTTATTTGTATTGATCCTGTCGATTTTCTTGCATTCATACATAGAGAGTTTTAGAGAAGACCAGAGAGGTTTGAATGATGAAATGTGTGGTTTGAAAATTGGTACTAACACAGAGGGACAGGCACATGATGATAAATGGTGACACAAGGAAGGTGTCAAGAAAGATGGGAACTGCATAAATTGTGATTTTCTATGTTTGGAATACGTGACAAAAACTATTACTTACTACTATGTAATAACGTTGCCATTATTTTAATATTATTTATTGCATGAATCATGTCAGTATTTAATGTCATGCTTGGTAAAAGAAAAAAGCTATAAACCAACAGTGAATGTAGAAAAACGTTAAAATGAATCCGACAGACCAAAATCTGACAAGCCATGTTTATCATTTTTATTTTCAATCTTCCTTAAAAAATTATGCACAGATTTTCATTTCTATTGCTTTTCTTTGTTTCTACAAAAGATGCGATTGACTTTCTATCTCTTAAAAACTCCCACAAACCAAGGCTAAATAAACCTGAATCATTCATTCATTCATTCATATTCATTCACTCTCCCTAATACTTAGCCACAACATCTATTGCATGCTCTCCTCCATTTCTTCTTATTCTCTCCTTCATTCTCTATCGTAGTGCCAAACTCTCTCACTCTCTCTCTCTCTCTCTCTCTCACACACACACACACACACACACACAAACAACAACCTTAAACAACCACCATGGCAGTTGATGCTAGTTACATGAATCTCTTGCCTTCTCAGTTACTCACCAACAGGTACCCACATCATCCTCACCAGAAAAGAGAAATTCTTTGCTATATATTCTCTCTGGGGTTTTGATTTTTCATGTTTTTTTATATGTTGTTGTTTTTGCAGGGAAATGATCAAATCCAATCAACAACACCATCATCAATTAAACTGTGATTACATCTACAACACCCAGATGGATTCAGCTTTGCCTCTTCCACCAGCTACAATGCCTGAATCTCTCTTGTCCTTGTACCAGTCCTCCTTTTGTGATCCAAACAAGGCAGATAGTGGTCTCACCTATCATCTTCCCCTCCAGAGAAAACGTTCAAGAGATTTCACCACTGAATTAACCTCTCTCCCACCTCACCAGAAGAACAAAATCTCCCCTCAACCTTCGTTTCTCAGCCAAGAGATTCTCTACCAGTTTCAGCATCAACAATCTGAAATCGACCGAGTCCTTGCACACCATGTAATTAATTCTCCACCTCTCAATTTTTTCTTTTTCAAATTTCAATACAGGACAAATGGAAACTATTCATTTATGAACCCTGATTTCCTGCTGTCGGCAACTTTTCCACGCATTCAATTTTAACTCACCGAAAGTTTGATGACTCGTGTTTTATTTCTGATCAATCAAATTCGAGAGTCGTCAGATTTTCATCTTTATTCAACAGTTAAAATATCACACCACTGTGTGAATGTCTGGAAAAAAAATAGCAGCATTCAATCCAATCAGGTTCCATTCATAAAAGCGAAGAGCCAAAAAATTTCAAACTTTGTTTATAAATAACGAGTCTTACCAATTTGTATCTTAAAAAAAAAGGTTAAAAGAATTCAACATACAGCCCAAAAAAAAACACTTTATCCTTTTATTTTTAAGGTAATGGCAAGCACTTTTTGATAAAGAGGAATTGTTAGGTTTTGATTGAATTTTGTTATGATTATTAATCTGTGTTGTGGAATTGTGCAGACCGAGAAAGTGAGGATGGAATTGGAGGAACAAAAAGTGAGGCAATCGAGGATGCTAGCGAGCGCAATTCAAGAAGCAATGGCGAAGAAGCTGAAGGAAAAGGACGAAGAGATTCAAAGAATGGGAAAGTTGAATTGGGCGCTTCAAGAGAGGGTGAAAAATTTGTGCGTGGAGAATCAAATTTGGAGGGACCTTGCACAAACCAACGAAACCACTGCCAACTACCTACGGACCAATTTGGAGCAAGTTTTGGCACATGTCGGAGAGGAACGCGCCGCCGCGGCCGAAGACGCGCAGTCCAGCTGCGGGAGCAACGACGCGGCTGAGGGCGGCGAGGACACGGCAGCGTCGGGTGGTGGCGGAAGGTTGTGTAGAAGCTGTGGGGCGAGGGAGTCGGTGGTGCTGTTGTTACCATGCAGGCATCTTTGCCTCTGCACAATGTGTGGGTCCACTGTACGGAATTGCCCTATTTGTGACTCTGGCATGGATGCTAGTGTCCATGTTAATCTCTCTTAGTACAATTCATTACATAGGTTTTCTTTCATTGTAGAGAGTTAAACACAAACTAGAGATAAAAAAAAAATAGTTTATCTTGTCGAAAAAAAATAGTAGAATGTAGAATTCTTTTGTTCATATAGTTAATTATATCTTCTTTTCTTTTCCTTTATCATGTTGGTATAATGTTTTCGGTGATTAATTTCTCACACATCAATGTGTTTTTACTGAAAAATATCAAATTATTAGGAGATAAAAGACTATATTGCTTATGACAACTTATATTGAATAGAGAAAAAGTTGGTGTTTTTTTTTTACCATAGCATCTCCTACCTTGTAGTTGAAGTTTTATAATTGGATAGTGGTATAAAGAAGGAGGATAAAGTGTGTTGAGTAATATTATTGAGACTAATGGAAGTTAGGGTATGGTTTAAAGTTGAAAGGAGGAAAGAAGGAAGTTTGTATAAAGTTGAAGAATGGGATAAATGTAGTGTAATGCATGCATGAATGAATGAATGAATTTAGAAAAAGAAAAGGGAAAAGAGGGAAAAGTTGTGGTATATATATGTGGTAAAGGTGTGAGGGAATGGTGGTGAATGGAAGATGGAAGGGAAAGAGGAATGGTTGTGTGATGGAAAGTAGTGATGGGTGTGAATGGAAAGGAGGAAAGGAGGAAAGGGGGGCAGAAACAGTAAGATGTGTGCTGTGAAATGGCCACAAGTGGGCATCAAATGTGGAAACTGCCAAGAGGAGTGGTTTCATTTTGTTTGCTTTCATTATTTTGGCTTGAAGGGGCAGCAAAAGTCTTAAAAGTTGAGAAAGACCTAAAATCCTCACATGAGAAAGAAAGAAAGAGAAGAGAATTATTTAGAAAAGCATGATGGCATGGACAAAGGATAAAGTTTTGGCATGTCAATTCGGCATCATTGTTTCTTGTACCACTGCTCTTCACCATTATGGGAATAGGATGCTTCCTCTCTTCTCTTCCTTCTTCATCATTTCCCTTTCATTCATCTCTCTCTCTCTCTCTCTTCCATCTCTTTTTCTTACTCTATCTACACCCATCCATAGTTATGCCCAATTTACAAGAAAGTAACTGCTTAATTCATGAAAAAAAAAAAAGTAATGAATCTTTTCTTGTGTCTAGATTAAAAAAAGAATAATCAAACTGTATAAAATGACAACAAATTTAGTTCATATCTACACCTTAACTTTGTGTTTCGACATTGATGGTGGAATCTACCATTTGTAGTAAGAGATATGGGTGGAGATGAATCTGCAGAAATTTAGCTTGTGTTATATATACATTGAAAAATATTATTAAATCTTCTTTAATTGATTTTTAATAAAAAATATCATTTTATTTTCACATCTTTTATATTATGCCAATATTCAATAAGTTTAAATTGTTAATCAATTTATTTATATGTTATAATAACTTATCACCCTAAAACATTAATAGTCATTGGATTGAGTAACTTCTTTCTAAAATAAATACAGTAACATATTAAATAGCAATGATACCTGTATTTTCATACCACAAATGATATTTATATATTGTTACATATTTTCCATTTAATTTTATTTATATATTTAGTCCCATAAGAAACAATATATTTGTATGAATAAACTTTCTCATTTCAAAATGACTAATCTAAGTAAATCAAACAGTGATGGGATATTTTGTTATCCAATTTCTTTTAACATACTATTTATTTTGTATTGAACTGTTTTATAATAAATTATTTATTGGATGTTTGTATTTAATATTAATGTCTTTTAAAATTTAAATTACAGGTTATTTAATTGAAACAAATATTAGTTATTTTAAATATTCAAAATAATTATTTTGCTTAAGGATTCCTTCCGTAAGAAAATAAAAAGCATATTTATTCATGAGAAAATTAATTAACATGAAAATAAAGAACAATATTCATTCCAAAAAATAATTTATGAATAAATTAAATTTTAATATTCATTTATTATAAAATTATTCATATAATTATAGTTAATTTTTTAAATTAATATCTCGTTTTCCAATAAATATATTTTAATATATAATTATAAATATTTTTATTATAAAGTTATATTTTTCTAAAAAATATTTGATTTTAAATTAAAAAAAATCCCATTATAAAAAATATAAAATATATTAAATTGTTTATTTAATTTTTATAACTATTTTTAGTATTATGTTGAAATAACATAATTTAAAGTTAACCTATGTATAAATTAAAATTATAAAGAAGTATATGAAAATAATTTTATAAAATATTTTATTTACACTATATAAAAGGTAAAATAGGTTACAAAGAAATTATTTTGTACATTTTTTATTATTTAATAAGAAATTTTTTTCTTATGCTGCTTAGTTCTTATTCTCCAATTTTTTTTTCTTGTAAATGAACTTATGTAAATATCAAAAATAATTAATGAAAATATTTTTGTAAGACAAGAAGTCCAATCAAACATGTAGAGTATTATCTAAGAAGTAAGTATGAATCAAAGGATTTTTATATTGTTTTTTTTATGATATTTGTTTGGAGAATAAATGGAGTTGAGATAGAGATACCTTTCCCACTAGGCTTTGTTTTAATCTTTCAAAACTTTTATGATTGCTATTATTATTATTAAAGTTCTTGCTTAATATGATATGAATGACCCACAAACATGTAAATTTGATAAACCAAAGATCCAGGTAGAGGCATCCTTTTCATCTTTTTCCAACACTCAAAATCTTGTCTTGTGACTTGTCTGTCACAGAAAAGAAAAGGAAAGTATAATTTTACTTGTACTTCTCTTCTCAATTTGGGATGGAATGATTGAAATCTCCACATCTCCTCCTCATTCTATCCTTTTTCTCATTTCCTATTCAATTACCTTTCTATTCTTTCTTTTTTCTTTTTCCTTTTTCTTTTCTTAAGTCCATCACCACCATCTTTATTCTTTTTGGAATAACAAGTATTTTCCCCCTTTTCATGCCTATTTTACTTTCCGTTCACTTAATAAATCATGATCCAGATCATTGCCAGAAATTATGAGAATAATTGTAGCAGAATCCTGATGTGAAGAAGTAGTGGTAACAGTAATAGTATAGTTACTAGGAGTGTCCAATACATATCAGTGTGCATGTGTTGTTGGGGAAGTAGAGTCTGACACATCACAATCAGACCCACCTCTCACTCTGACACTCATTCAGAACTCCCACTAACCCTCACTCACTCTACACAAATTCTACCAACTTTCCCTTCCCTTCACAACCACCTTTACTCCCAAACACGGCACCAATTCAGGACACTTTTCATCACACCACATCACACATACACCATATGCATGTATACATGACTATCATGCACCAACAAACCAACGTCTCCTACCATCATATACCCACAAGACAACAAATAAGCTATTTGTTTTGGGTAACTTGAAATGAAAATTTGAAGTAACATGGCAATGGCAAGTCTCGGAAACAGCAAGAAATGTAGTACATTAGTTGTATTCAAGGTCAGAACCTGATTCAATTGAAGGCACCACCAACTGGTTATCGAAAAGAGAGAGAGAGAGAGAGAAGGGTAAATGGGAATATCACAAATCGATATGCCAACATCTGAGGACCACTCAGCCTTGGAAGTTGCTCTGTCATCAACAAACAAACACCAACCCAACAAAAACGCCAAATACAGAGTAAAAAAAAAATAAAAATTTCTTACTTTATTTAAACTTTAATTAGTAAAAAGTAATAACTTAATGATGTGGGGAAAAGAAACAAAAGGAGAGATTAGGAGAAAGAGTACGTGAGATAGTTGTGTCAGGGTTATGAAAGTTAAGTTGGGGTAATCCGAAAAATGATGAAAGAAGAGGACAAAAAATGTTGAAGAGATGTGAGTGAGTGTGTTTGCATCGGGGAATGGGTTGTTTTGGCTTTAAGAAGAAAGGGGCACGACATGATGATGATGACAATAATAATCTGGTTGCTGCTACATCTGTTACTACTGCTATCATGAGTTAATGTTTTGAAAGTGTGGTCAGTGGGGTTGGTTTCTGTGTCTCCCTCATAAAATGAAACTGTCCTTCCAAATCCAAATACCAACAGTGCTGTGCTATGCTAGGCTGCATTTCTGTCCCCACTCACTACCACCAACTTCAGCCCCACCACCTCCTCTTTCTCTCTGCACTCTGTTCCTCTTCTTTCCCTTTCAGTTTCATTCACAATGGACATATCTGGCTCTCTCATAATCATCATCGCACCTATTTCACCCACAAAACCATTTTTTATTTATCCCACGCTTCTTTCATGGACTATTTTTTTATTTATTTTCTGCTTTCAGAATCTGCTAAGTGGAATACTTTGACAAGAGAGGAAGAGAAATAGTTCATGACTACGTAACTTACTAACAATTCATATCTCAAACTTAACCTCCAAAAGAAAAAGGTGAAACCAACTAGGAAGGCAAAGGTGTCGGTTGCCTACGTGCAAAAATGAGACTAATAATAATAATATCAACGAACAAATAATTAAATAATGGAAATGGAATACAATAATAAATGTGACATGACGTGAAAAATGAATGGAGAAAGAAGAAAAGGGTGTGATTGAAAAGTTGACCATAGAAAGCCATCAACGTCATGGGATACAAACGATTGAAATTTGGACTACTTAGTTGGGTCTTATCATGTTTCTGCCACGTTTCCTACGTTGGACGCGGATTCAACGTCAACATTATCATATTGTTTCTAAATTATTTAATCAATATTAATTCCTTTTAACCAATATTGGAGATACCGACCACATAAATTCCATTTTTTTTTTTGTCACTCTGTATCATAATATTGGATCATGTCACTTGTGTCACAATCATTAGTAATTTGTCTTTAGTGGGACCCAATCATTGTGGTTTCTCCTATTTCTTATTTCCTCACAACTAAACGATAAAAAGGGTTTTTTGGACAAAATTTTAATATGAAACATACTTTTGAAGGTTATAAAAATATTACCTTTATGATGAGATATGAAATAAAACAATACATGATACTTTCTTGTACCTCCTTGAGTTAATAATTAACTGCAAAGTGCATTAGGCCATGGATATTGATCAGATTAGTTGCTACTCATGGCTTGCAATGCATGCAATCTCTTTTTAAATTGCTAATCACATTAATTATAAGATACAATTGTGATGTCTTCTTCATTTCATTAACGAGTGACACTAATTAACTACAAATGTATTAGGTATAAAACACAATCCGAAATTTAATATGTAGAGTATGAATTAAGTATAAGCACACTAATATTTCAAAAGAATGTGCGGTTTTTATTAGTCCAAAATTTTCTTTTCTTTAACTTGTGATTTGGTGTCTTGATGTTTGCTTGTTCAAGTTTGTGCTGGTACATGCTCATTTCAATGTAGGGTTTCTTCTAGATAGAGTTTCTACTAACAAAATTGAAAATAAAATATCTTACAAATATATAAACAAAATGATAATTAAATTGTTGAACCCATCACTTCAACGGGTCAACTATACACATCGCCAATGGTTTCACACGATTGTGTTAGCAATATTTAACATGCAAACATACTTGTAATGCAATTTCTCCAAAAAAAAAAATTTCTTATGGGTGTTTCAAGCTTTTAAGGGTAAAATAGGTGACCTTTCTGATTCTTAAAACATCACTCTCTTATCCTTATGTTCTAGTAAGCGTATTGTTTTCAGTGATAGAGTAGGATAAACATTATAAGGGTTTGTTTGATTTAATATTTTTTTTAAGTTTTAATTTATTGTAAATATCATAAATAAAATTCAAATTATGACTCATAAATAATGTAAATTTAAACTTTTTATGAATAATTAATTTTATACTGTAAATAAATATTGTGAAAATTATAATCTGCACAAGTTTACATATTGATATAATTTTCTCCGCCGTATAGCACACACCAGTGTTGTAGAAAAAATAATCTCCATATTGACATTCTCTCCCTGATAAGAAATAAATACTAATTCAATAAAAAATATACAGCCTTCTGTCAAGTTATTAAATTAGGTGGATAATTTCAATGTGAATAAGTTATTCTCATTAAGTATAATTTTTCATTTTAGTTTTCGTATTTAAAAGTTATCCATTTTAATTTGTATATTATAATTCTTAGTCTTCTAGCATTTCATTTCTAATATAATTCTCGTCACCTTTCTCGAGAGATTAATAAAACATAAAACATAAAAAAAAAAAGACAATTTCTAAAGTTTTTTTCTTTTTTAATTGACTAACATTGTATTCTTCTCAGCCAAAACACAACAAAATGTTTTCACTCCCATGTTTCCCCTTTTTGTTTTCTTCTATTGAAGAGAATCATCATGAACAGATTCTTCACTTAGATAAAGCTTAGGTCAAGGATATCTAAGCGGGGAACATACAGAAATTCCATGATGTAACTGTTGCTACACCTCTTGCTGAAAAGTGGAGAGTCACACTCTTTCTGCAACCTTTCAAAACTTTAGTTGAGAATGAAAGTTGATGAACTTATTAGGTGGAAAAGTCTATGATCTATCACAGTTTCATTGAATGTAATCTTCATAGTAGTTGTCACTTATCACAGACACAAACCTCTCTAGCCATGGAAGTTGATGGAGATCCTTCATGGGGTCTACATAAGAATCTGTACAGCGAGGAGGAGACTGATAAGGATTGTGGTCACTGAGACTGAAACCACCTGCAAGAAACCTCTGAATAAGAGCAAGCTGCGACCGTTCTTGGTCTGAGTATGCGTCCATGATCATGGAGAGAGAGTTGAATGTCTCCCATGCCCATTGTTCTGATTCTTGAAGAGAGTGTGTCACTGAGTCTTCTGAGTTATCTTCGTCCCAATATGCACACTGGCATGTCTGTTGCCCTTCTCGGTATTCTGCACCGCAAGAATAGCAGAACTCATGACCACACCTGAAATGAAGACAAGGGTAGAAAACTATCAGAAAATCTTAAGCTATAACAGAGTTTGGATAAACTTGTAATAGTGTGATTCCTCTAGGAAGGAACAGAGCTGATAAATCAGTGACACTTCATGTTATAGTCATGAATTTCAACCACGACTTTTAGACTTTACAACAATCTATCATAGCATTATTAACCTAAACATACAACATATTTTAGATCTATAAACAAAGTTTGCAACACAAACATACACATCAATAGACTTGAACAAAAAATAAACACCAATCTATACAGAAAAATAACCTAACAAAACAAGAAAATGGATCAAAATTGAAGAAATATTTACTGATAAAATGAAAGACAATAGTAGTAGTTCTAAGCAACAAATAATCTTGTTAATATCGAATTTGGAACTTGATGTTGAATTAACAAGTTGGCCATGTTATTGACATTAAATATCGAAAAATGTCAATGACTTAAAAATCTTTTATAAATATATATCTTAAAAATCCTTTATAAAAATATATCAGCTCCCATAATTATGGGAGAAGCATTTAGAATTTATGTTCATGGCATATATTCTTATGCGTGGAAGATGAGAAGTGCAGAATTAGTTGGGTCACATGCAAAATAACCCCATTTACTTTGCTTGTTGCGGGTGTGAATCGTTCTTTTTTTTTTCTATTGGCTGAGGCCCAAAATAACCCACAAACACAAAACACATCAAAAGAACTTAGGTTTGTTTTAAGCTGGGTCCGGTCAACTGCCTAAACTTGTTCATACTCTGAGCTGTGCTGGCTGACTGCCGCAGCCTCCTCTGGACTGTGAGGCTGTGGGAGTGCAATTTTCACAACAACCATGCCGCCATGCCGCAACAGCCAAAACAGTTGCCATGAGCCGCCATGCGAAACCTCTTTGCCACCACCTTACTGTGGCGGCTGGAAAAAATTCCTCTACCTATGCCGTTTTTCAATAACACTGATATTTAGTAACAATATGGTATGTTCCATGGAAAAATAAGCAATGGATGATTTGCACATAATTTAGATATATGCACCAAAGCTGAGCTGTGAGGCAATTGTACTGGTCTAATATTGACCTGGGAAACCCAAGTATATCCTTACAGAAAGACTCAATTGATGTATTAGTATTAGTTTACTTCATTGATTTGCATCAGAGTCACAATTAATATTCAACATCGGTTTGATCATCTACAGTACCTTTCAAACATCTTATCCAACTATCATCTTTTGAATGAAGTGAACGTGAAAAGAAACACATGGATTAGGTTAATCATTAAAAGCAAACAGAAAGGGATATACACAATTGACAGCCCACAGTTGAATGTGATGAGCTACATACTGGAAGCAAGATCCAGAAGTATATCCCCTTAAAAGCCAAAAAGAAAGGTCCAATTTGATCCTCTTTTGAGCGCAAAGTCTACTGGTTTCTCCAAGGTTTTCATTTAACAGAAATAGAGGTTCAGTCCTACAGTCAAGGATTGCTGTAATTTAACTGATTTCATTCCATTTTGGATTTTGAAAGCATCCCATCATTTTATGTTGTTATCTCGCTTCCTCTTATTAAACAGTAAAAAAAACTTCACTAATATAATTGTCCTTCATCATTTTTGGCTGATTGAAAATATTAATTTGATAAGTTTGGCCCAGTTAATTCAATAAAGAGAAATTAACTGCTTAAAGGGCATGAATATTGACTACTAAGTGTTCTATGCTTCACTTCTTTCCTTGTTATAAGTGTTCATTAGGCATGAATACCTAGTATTGGAGTATTTTATAACCCCAACCTTTGAAGTTTTCAATATCTAATCATCCTATGATGCCTAGATAGTTTAGAATAAATTGGTTTAATTACAGCCAGCCCAACAATGTTTGAAGTAGGAATCTTAATCATATAACCATGATTCAACTAATAGTCCTCAGCCTGCATGTCCTTTTTCTTACGACTTACTACTTAGTAAGCCTAAAAAATACTTACAACTTCGGTGCATAGCCCATCAAAAACCCCATGTTACTAGTTTACTACACCAATAAAACTTTTAAAAATATGTAATCAAATAGAAGATTATCTTGGAACAAATCCTTTTACAACTTCATGCAGATCTCAGCTTTGCTTTCAAAATTAGCCTTTTTGATACAAAATGCTTCCCAATCCTAAAACCTGAACCACCTCTGCGCCCAGGGCTGGCCTCTTCCCAATCCCAATTCATGTAGGAATGTTTGTTCCTTGTGCTAGCCATATCATATTTTATGGGTTTCAAGAAAAATATTAAGCATGCCAAGAAACAGATACTAAAAGATTAATTAGTATAATTTGAAATAAACTGCTCTTTTCCCTCCCTGCCTTATGGCACAACCAAGTAGCCATCTATCATCTGCATTTCTATTGTTTCAAGAGAGACTAACTATATATTGCAGAGACAATTGCGTTTTAGTTTTTTGATTCAATTGTTTTAGAGCTATTAGGATTATATTTTAAAAAAGAAAGAAATCTATCATTCTAAACCCTGTTCACAAAATATACACCATTCAAGCATTCATTATCCACTAGTTACCTACAGAACCAGATCAGTTTGACTCTGCAGCATCAGATCATATGATTAAATTGAATAGACTATTGAGCAATCTGAAACTAATACTGAGGTGTCTAAACTGCACAGATACACATAGGGAATCAGTATAAATATGTTCAGTCCAAATAATTCTATTTACTTTATCTCCTTTAAGCTCTGACCTACTATCATTTTGTGGGATTATATCATCAACCAATCTTTCTCTCCTGAATCTAAATATTGTCACTTAGACAATTGTCAGGCTTTTATTTTGTTTTACAGTTACAATACATTTAAATTTCAAATGTTCTAACACTCAAACTGAAAATTAGTTAAGGCCTAGAGAGTACAGAAAGTTTCATTTTACGTTTTTAGCACACAGAACTTCATGCATAATCATAAAAAGAAATGAGACACCATAAACAAACAAGGAAGGAAACAAAACTTGCATACATAACTGTTTTGAATAGGCAGATCCCTCCCTCACTTCTTAAATTAACATTTAAATTTTCTATAATATATATTAGTCTAACAGGGTACGTCAAAGTAGATTTCTGGATTTCTACTGTGCAATAGAAACTATGTAATGAAATAAGTATAAAAATAATCAACATTTTTTGTATCTTACCAGCATCTCATGTGATAACAGCCTTGAGTAAGTTCAATCATTCTACGACACTGCTGACAACGCTTCCACCTTTTATTTTGAGCAAGACGGTGCAAGGTAATGTCAGAAGCATCTCTCTCCTCCTCTGGCAGATTCTGGAATTCTACACAACTCATAGAAGAATGCCAAGGAACCTTACAGTCCATACAGATAAACCTCTTACAAACAGGACACTCAATACAAGAATTGTCAGAATGACTGGATGAACTTGCCCTAGCTGATGAACATTCATGAGAATCAAGGAGAACAGAACAATTTGGAAATGGACAATAAATTCTATCTGAATGGTCAATATTTGCTTCGAAAAGGGCTTTCTCTAGTGATTCAAAGGAGGTGAATGGAAGAAAAGACCTGCACTCAGTTGCAGACATGCAATACTTACACCCTGGTTGAGGGCATCTTATAGGAACTTGACAAGATTGCACTTTACCATCAGCATAGGCCCTCAAGCAATGTGAACAGAATGTGTGTGAACATTTCAGGGAAATCATAATTGGAACTGGCTTGTCATCACAGCAAATAGAACAGTTCTTAAGCAATCTCTCGCCATTTACGGGGAAAGTGACTAGTCCAATAGCTACTTTGGCCAAATGCAGTGGTTGCTCAAGATTAGTGGAGGGTATAAGCTTTAAAACAAAATCTTCAAAATTATTGGCAAGTTCCAGAATCCTTTCTCTCAATGCTATCAAAAGCGGCATGTCCAATTTTTTCCCAAATGTTATCTGTCAAAAATATTCACATTTAAACAGAAGGATAGTTAAAGACAGGTGACGTGGGAAGTACTCACAAAAACACATTAAAGAACTATAAGAGGTAATGGCACAAGTCAGAGTAATGTCAATTAAAATTTTTTAGAACAAATTTATAATGTTGGCTATTCTTGATATTTAAATGGTAAACTCAATCCTCCTAGTCCACAAAGCACCCACAATTATATTCAAGAAAACGTCTTCCACATGCATGAAAAATATTAAAGTCACACTTTTCAGATGTTAAATAAAAAGTTAAATTGCAGTTCAAAATCATAGTATTTTCTGTTCAAATGGAATACAGTGTGCCTGCAAAAACGCAAACCTCTAAACTTTCCTATGTACGGGCTAAAGAAACAAAAACAAGAAAGGAGAATCAAACAAACAAAAGATATTGAGAAGTAATAACAGACATGTTCGGTGCAGTATGAAAATAAAAATTAAGAAATGAAAACACGATATGATGTTTGTGTGCAAACCCAACAATAGCACAAGGCCTAAAGTAAGGACACACAATAATTTTTATCTCAGTGTTCATCCACTTAAGGAAACATGAACACAGAAGGATAGCATGCCTGAAGAATTTAATGAATTGATGGGAAAAGAAACGAGACGATACTTAACAGACACACTGCTAATAGGTGTACATATTTCATACAAGTCATTTCCAATTTTGGCATCCCATGATTTCTAGATCTTCAACAATTTATGAGGAGGCCATAATCATATCATAGAACAAAAATGTCAAAATCAAACACTGAAATGTAACCTGATTATGCAACGACTCAGAATCTGTGAAGGCATAAACCCTGCGTATCTTTTTCTGCACTGCTTCCAGCAAGCCGTCCAAGAGTGCCAAATAGTCAACCACTGACTCCTCCGCATGAAAGTCAAGTTTTTTCTGCACCCTAATAGCAGGAAGCCCTGGGGACCTTTCCATGACAACTCCAATTCCAGAAAACCCAGAACTTGAATTTTCAACCCCAGCCATTGACAACCCCTTGAAGAACATCTTCACTGAAAATTCATCAAGCGCGCCCTTCAACCCTTCCACCACAGCCTCCTCAGTCTCTTTCCACACTTCCTCGTCTTCATCTCCACAACAACTGCAAAACTCATCTTCCTCCTCCTCTCTCCCAACATTAACACCTAAAACACCCTGATCCCCCATTTTCCCAGCAAATCACCCACAGAACTTCAATTAGCTATTCCAACAATTAACAACACCGCAGCATGACCCATCAACAAATCGATCTAAAATTTTTTTGTTTTTTGACAAATTACAAAATTTCAGCTCAAAATAAAATAACCCTTTTTGGGAGACTGCAAAAGCCAAAAGAAATCAAATAAAAAATGGAGCGAGAATGGCCATTGACTTTGATCGACGGTAGGTAACTAAAACAATGAAAATAAGAGAAGAGAGAGAAAGCAAAAGGGTATCATGTAAAAGCAGTGAAGCTTCAAAATTCCACACTCCTTATCTGGTTGGAATTTGGTGTTATTATTCTTTTGAGCAGTGATTCTCAACCACTGTCTGCAACAGAATAAAAACCCTAATAATCTAAAAGACGACAACTTCAGCGGCTTAACAACCCTTCCTTACTCAGATTGATTATTATTAATTATTAATTTGACACACCCAACTCCAAAATAATAATAATCATAAAAAAACAGAGAATCTAAACATAGTTCTCTGTAGTCACCTATCTTCTTATAATTAAAGTTTAAATTTGATTTTTTTCTTAAATTTTTAGTAGTCTGTAAAAATACATTTTTTTTAACGTTCTCATATGATATGTAATAAAAAAAAAAAAGTTCTTTAGCAAAGGTTGAACTTAAAAAATACTTTTTAAATTACGACAAAATAATGAAAATTTAAATAATATTGTATTGACGTGATCTATTTGTCTGGAATAGCTTAGCTTACGGTATCTTTAATCACAGACGACACAAACACTTCCTATGTTTGCGGATTCCACTGCAGGTTAGATTCAGGAGCTACCCTTTCACTTCAATCATTTTTTTCCCTTTTATTTAATTTAATTTGTTGTGATTTGAATTGGATTAATTTTTTTTTTGAAATAAAAAGTATATTTTTAAAAAATAAAAATAAAAGACACCATATACAATTAATCTGAAATTAAGGATCATACCAACGCCTAATATATCGTTCAAAGGATATATTTACTTTATATATTACAATGTAAATGATTAATTAAATGGATTGTAAAAGTTTAGAATGTATGGTTTAAAATTTAATATAATATTAATTTAAAAAATAATTTTTAATTTTTCAATTCTATTATTACGATATGTATTTGGAATGGTTGAAGAACAATCTTCCATTTTACTTTAACTTTCCTTTTCATTTGTTCCAACAACTTTATATTACTTTACTTTCTATTTATTTTATTTTTCATTTTCTTTCTTAAATCATATATATCCTAAATAAAAATACTAACTAATTTTAACATATGAAGTGTAAACAAGTAAAGCCGAATCCAACTTTTGAAGTTTGGACTTAAATTTAACTAGAAGTTTAAGTTTAAACAATTATTAAATTTGAGTTTCATTTGTTTAAATTATTTATAACATCAATTTATTTTTTGATAAAAAATTTTAAATTGATTTTCAATTTTATTAATATGGCATCTTAAAGTTATTTAATACTAATCTACTAATACAAAATATGCATCAAAGAAAAAATGTTTATATATTAGAAAATAAACCAAGGTCTTACATATATACAACTTAATATTAACCAATAGAATATCATTAACAACATAAGCTATAATACCTCTGATTTTAAACTTATATAAATAGATTATTGATGAGCCTTTAATGTCAAGTTTTTAAATAATTAAATCCAATAAAAAAGTGAATTTATTTATTTATTTAAATTAACAAACAAAATTGAATAAAAAAACAATAAATATAGTCTGAAAAATTAATTAGTTTGGCTCTTCAATTAGGTAAACACCACAATATTATTTAAATTTCAGTAACAACTGAGACCCAATATCAGTTTGTGTTTGTTTTGCTAAATGCAAAGGGACATTGAACATGAATATTTGTGTTAATACAAATTTTTTCACCAACTAATAGAAAATGTTAGAAATAGAACTCAAATTATTTAGAAACTGAGTTGGCAAGTTGAAAACCATATAAAATTATGGGCTTCTTTAATTTGAAGCATGCCTCGTACATATGAATGTGATGTCACTGTCCCATGTATAAAGCCATTAAATTTAGTAAAGTCTGTAGCTTGGTATTTCTAACACTGTTCTGACCAACAAAAATGTTTCTACCTTCTGCTTGGTATTTGCTCTAAAAAAGGAAAATTTATTGACTTTTTTAATTTATTTTGATTCGTGAATTTTGGCAGATATATTATTGTTTCATATATGTATAAATTCCAGGTAATGAAAAACTCCCATATTTAAATAAAGAAATATCTAGATTAGTAAAAAAAGTGAGATAAATTGTCTAAAAAAATCTTATACACAAAATCTTTATATGAATAAAGTCTCACGTCTAATATAACGTGCCTCAATTTAGTGATTCATTTAAAATATCAAAAATTTTAAATATATAATTTAAATTACAATAAAAAATAATTTAAAATAATTATATAAAAAGATTTTAATTATACTTAATATATAAAATAATATTAATATATTTAAATATTATATATAATATAAATTAATTAACATTCTTATATTAATAATTATTATTTCAACTTAATTTATCAATTCTAATAATAAAAATATTTTAGTTATTATACTAAAAAATTATTATTTAATCTTTTTATATTCAATTACTTCAATTAATCATATCAATTACAATAAATTTATTCAAATCTTTTTAAATTTATTAATTTTTTCTCAATTCAAACAATTTACTTTAAATCACCTCAAATCCTTTTCTTAGTTTAAACATAATGTTAATGGGTATTTGTTAAAAAAAAATGTATCTTTATGTTTTATTACACTAGTTGCAGAAAATCCAAAAAGAAATGGCAGCTTTATTTGCCTTTTTAATGCAAGTTTCCCCATAATATCTATGACTTCTAACCAATTTGTATTTTGGATGACTAACTTGAAGTGTCAATAAAAAGAAACTTTTTGAACCGAAAAGTTAGGTATCTCAAATAACTCTGAGCTGACTTTTAGACCTAAAAATCCAACATTCACTCCACTACCCTCCACCACTAGCTTCATTCCTCAACCTATGTCAGAGTCTCCTTCCTACTCTGTTATTAGTTCCTTTGTTATTAAATTATGAATGCCTGAAAAAAATGAAACTACAAGGATTTGGAATGCAAAATATATATGTTTTTTCTTGTTTATGAAAAGACAATATATTAATTGAGTCTCGAGACTCGTCAGAATTCAAGGTTGTACTGACAAGAAAAACCAAAGTCATTTTTATGGGATGAGTTAGTTTTTTACCAACTTCACCATTTGCAGAAAATCATTCCTAAAGATGGAATTTTTCTACTTCACACGCAAAAGAAATAAAAGAGGGTCCACTTATTTTCTTTAATAACTAATAAGGGTCCACTTTGTGTTCTTAATTTACAACAAAAATAGACACGATCAGAGCATGCTGCTATAGACCTCTCCCACACACGTGAACCCTATCCACCAACAGTAACACCCCCCAAAATAATAACACTAAATGGATACAGAAACCAAAACCTACCCTTTGGAGGGACTTTGTATTTAAACAACCAGACAAACTAGACAACCACACCTGAGAAATTTGTTTCAAAATAATGGGTTAAATTTACACAAAGAGAAACTGTTAATGTTGGGCCAAGAAAATCTTCATCTTTTCTAAAAGTTTGCAGCTGGAATAAATTAATTAAACAAGGGACTGTTAACAAGAAATGTGATTGGTGCCATAGCTTATTGATAGAAGATTTGATTCTGCCATGTTTGTAACCCATCTCATTGGACCATTTGATTCTCCTGGTATGTTGTAAGCATAAGAAGGCCATCTTACATTTTCTCCACACAAGTTGGTGGCATTCATTCTGATCATCTTCTGTGTTCTTTCAAGAACTATAAGACTTGAAAATGTAGAGAAACTGTTTCCCACAAAAGTATCAGCTCTTAAACACACTTCATAGTCGATTGCAGACTGAATTAAATAGGGATACTTCTTATAAATTCCATCAACACCAAGTTTCTTCTTCTCAAAAGGAAGAAACCCTTCTTCCCAACCATCAAGTATGGAAGAATTGTTAAGGAGTTTATCAGCAACAGCAAGATAAACAACAACTGGAGTCTTCAAACCCGCAATGTTCTTAACTCTTTCCACTATCTCTTTCTTGCCACTGCAGATTTGATTCGTGTTCAATCGCCGCTCTAAATTTTTACAGTGAATCATCCAATCAATTTCTATCCTCATGTGGACAGCAACAAATGGAAGAGGCTGAAAAGAAGACCCATCATTGGTCATTCTGTTATGCACTTCCACTGCTTCAGTGTTGCCTGTTATCTCTCTTCCAACAGCTCTAATCCTAGACACAACCCTGTCTGCTTCCTTAGCAATCTCTTCTGTCAAATCCAAGCACTCAAAAACATTTGCATAGTCTTTCACAGGCCAATGATCATGCCACAAGAAAGGGTTCTTCCCGACAATCCGAATTACCTCGTAGTCATCAAAAGAGCCCCTACTATATTCCTTCAATTGTGACAAATCTCTCTCCACTGTCCACCTCCTGCCACTTCCCTTCTCCATTTCCAGCACTTCTGTTCTATTCAAGACATCCGAATGGCGCCCCAGCCGGACAAAACCATGGCAAAGGGTATTAAACTTCTCAAATTGGAATATCTTCTCAAAGGAAATAGGTTGCAAGAGGTCAATTTCTTTGTAAAACAATGAGGCACTAAGGCTCGGCATTAACAATGTTCTGTTCAGCATTCTAGCAGTAAGACAAGCCCTTGCGAATGCAATCTTCTGGTTGTTTAATCCCCACACAAGCTGAGGAACCACCAAAAACTTATCTTGCCGAATTCCAATGTCAGAATTCAAAATTGGAGTGCGGATATATACAATATTGTTCCATTCAATCCCACCAAAGCCAGGGATGGACGGAAACAACAGTGCTCTAAGGATCAAAACAGTGACAAACAAAACCAGACATTTGCTAGTTATTGAATTCAGTGTGCCAGCCAATAACTTTGACAACACTTCCATGTATGAGAGTGATTCACTCTTCCATGCAAAGCATCGTAATTTTTTCTTTAATATAAAAACTCAGATTACAGCATCAATTACACAAAGGATGAAAGCCAGTGTGGAAAAACCATGCCAACAAATTTAAAGGTGAAGATCCAATTTTGAAGGACCCCACAATCTGACTAAACTGATACAAAAGGAATAACGAGAAAAGCAGGAAATTTGCAGCAGAGGGTTCCCCTGCAACGATGAATATCCAGAAAAGTAGAAGAAAGAAAAACCACAAGAATCAGCTATGAAATCGTATTGTTAAAAAATTGAATTTTCATTCTAATTTGCAGCTATACGTTCAAAAAAAAATTAAAAATAAAAAGAGAGAAAATAGACAGCAGAAAGAAGATAGAAGAAGATGGCAAAACAAATTAAAGGCAAGTGCAAAAGAAATGAGAGACATGTGAATGTTTGTTAGAAACACCATCCCAGGCAATACCTGTCACGACGGATGTGAATCTCTCCTGCACTGCCTGTCTCCAGCTCTTTCCAGCGTTTTCAACACCATTAATCTATTTAATAATATCAACATCAATATAATCTGACTTTCCATTGCTTCATGTGGTATATATAAATATAGTTTTAAAAATATTTAATTTTTACATAAATTTTAATCATACAATTAAATATTCATAAATGGACAGCCTATATATTATATATACCCTACACAGCAGTTCAACGCTACATTGATATTTAATCTCCATCTTATCTTATTTATACTAATATTTAATTAATAATCTCCATCTGATTAAGTAATTCAACGCTAAACTAATACATACTATTAAAGAGCCAGAGACACGCACCCAGAAATCCGAAAGGCAATGGAGACACGAGACACATCGATAAGAACGTGTCGTGATGAAGAAAAACAAACAACATTTAATGAGGATTTTTGTTGGGTGTGTTAAAGCCATAACAGCGTCTGAATGGTGATTTTTCTCACCTTTGGAAAGAAAGTTTTGAATCACTGATGGAACGACAGTGTTTTAGCGTTGTGGGGTACACGTGAAAGCAACCGAAGAATAAGAAACAAAAATGAAAGGTGCAAAAGAAACCACCTTGAACCAAATGGGACTAGGGATCAGAATTAAACCCGTACCGTGAGATCGATCCGTCCCGTCCCGAGCTGACGTGAAATCCCGAGCTGACCGTAGTGGCATGCGTGGCTGGTTCGGTTTCAGCTTAAAAGTCGATGGCGAGGCGGATGGATGCAATCCCCACTCCGACCCCGTCCCCGTCCCCGCCTCGACTTTATATTTAAATTTAAATTTTAAAATATTAATATTTTAAAAGTATTTCGTTTTCTTTTTCTATTACATATAATGTTATTTTTTTATATTTCACCAATTTATATTTTTCTTCTACCCACTTTTTAATTTTTTTTATCTTTCTCAATCTTTTATATCAATTAATTTATTATATTATTCTCTCCCTTATCTTTCAGTTTTTCACATTTTCTTAGTCTCTCCCATCAATTTGTTTTTTTTTTCAATCTTTTCAACCAATTTGATGAACACAAAGTTAATCTTTTTTCTTTATCTTTTTTTAAATATTTTACATCAATCTTAGTAGTAACTAATATTAGTTTATTTATAATTTATATTTATTATGCCATATTTTTTTATCTTATTATGCTTATTTATCATATATCAAATTTTATCTTAATAAAATAATTGCATTTTAAAGGATTAAAAGAAATTAATAATTTAAACTTTTATTACTTTAAACTAATTAAATAAGAATTAACTTATTAAATATTTTCTTATAAACTATATATTGACAACTTAAAAATGAATTAACTTATATGTATAATTAAATATTTGAATACAGTATTATAATAATAATGTTATAAATATTCAAATATTTGAATACATTGTTATAATAATAATAATAATAATAATAATAATAATGTTATAAATATTATATATATATATATATATATAAATAAAAAATAATTAAATATTTCTTTTACATATATATTTTAATATAAATATAATAAATTAAAATGTATATTTAATTAATAATAACTATAAATTATAAATATTTATTTATATATAAAAATACATAGTAAAATTAATTTATTATAAATATAATTATCTTTTTAAAAATAATATAAATTGGGGACGTGTGGCGGGAACCCGAAACTCAGCTGAAACGGGATGGAGACTTAATTCCTAACCCCAACGGAGATCGGGGGCAGGGACGGGAATGGTTAAAAAAGTCGGGGACGGGGACGGGGGAGGCAAAACCCGCCCCCGCCCCGTTGCCATGCCTAGATGGGAGGAGTAATCGATAGTGGAGTGTTGGGAAGAGAGAAGAAGGGACAAGAAAAGTTGGTAGGAAGAGGAGAGGGCACGGATATAGAGAAGGAAAAAGCAGACAGAATAAAATATTTAAAAAAATAAAAAAGTGAAAGAAAAAGGTTCAGATGAAGTGAGGGGAGAGGACAAGTGAGATTGGATGTTGCAGAGGGAATGCCTGCAGTGTTACAGAGCCAAAAACAAAGGCCAAATCTCTCTCTAACCACACCATTTATTGTTGTCCTTTTTCCATGTTCAAATAAATAATAGTGTCATCGTGTCATTTGAGATGCACTAAAATAGAATAGTTTTATTGATTGGATATTAGATTTATAGGATTTAAGGATAACTGTTAATGGAAATTTTTCTGAGATTGACCAAGTATAGTCTGCCACCCATTTATACGTGGTTACCATAATTTTTAACATTTTCAAATTATATTGTAAGTAAATTGGCATTGGATCGATAACTTTCGCACCAATTTTTCAGTCACGTGTTCTTTTTCAAGTCAAAATTCTCCCACATAATGATCATTTTAAAAAGTAAAAAATATTACTAATTTAATACATGTAGTACATTAAAAATTTATTTTTTCTATGAATAAGATTCTTAGTCGTGAATAAACAGCTCGAAGAGTTCAAGTGGTCTAACATAAAAAGAATAGCCCAGACAACCTTTGATCTAGAGCATAATTCTTTTATTGTGTGTATTCTAGAGGAATTTTTTTTTTTTTGGAGGTGGTGGTTAAATATGTTTTTTGTCATTGTAATATTAGTGTTTATAAAAAAATGGGTTTTCATTTCAATAATTTTTAAATATTGTTTTAATTTCTATTTTTAGTCTCCATTATAAAATCATTAACCTGACTAATATATTAACATCAACTTGACAAACTAAAATTGAAATACTTTTATGAATTAAAACAAAAGTAACATTTTCAAGAACTGAAAGAAACAAGAGATTAAAAGAGAGAACAAATTTATTTGCAGATATAAAATTAAAACAAGTTTAAATATTACTCTCCGTTTTAAAATGATTACAATTTTAATTTCTAACAAAAATTTAAATGGATTAGAAAGGAAAATGTTCGAATTATATTAAATCTGACTTCAGAAAAAAAAAACGGATCAACTTTTTAATTGTGGATTGTCGAAAATATACTCATGGCTAAAATTATCTTACAATACTCTAATGTTATCACCATGTATGTTTGTCCACAAATAAGCAATTGAGCACGATGACAAAACTACACAGGTAATTCACACATCGCTGAAACACTTCTATCATAGAAAAGTAAATTAAGAAAAAATGAATGAAACATTACAAAATATATATATATATATATATATATATATATATATATATATATATATATATATATATATAACTTAACTAGTGGTTATAATTTTCAAGAGATATGATTCATCTTCAAGGATTTTTATTTTTTAAAATATGCATTGGAAATCATCTAACTATTCTATCTAAAAATACCAGTCTTCTGGATTTTGGATATTAGCAATGTCGTGATATGATGTTAAGTTGAGTAGATCCTACTAATATGCCTGCGATAAAAATAAAAAGTACGAAAGAAAAAAAGATTCGCGCACAAACTTCACTATTTTGAGTAGAAAAGGCAGACTATGCAGTACATGTATAAACAGGACAGAATTTAGCTTTTCCACAACTTCCGGAAGAGTGGGCAACAAGTTCTTTAGATGAAGAACATTATGTTTTCCAGGTCAGTATGCAGCTTGTAAAATCCCTGTTCAAATGAAGTGGTCCGTGAAATTGACGAAGCATCTTTGGAAGATGAAGATGTTGTTGACTTTGGAGATTGCATCCCAATCCTTGCTTCATGGTATAATCGTCCTCTATAAGCAGCAAGGTCAGCATAATACACAGGAGGGACTAAAGATACAGGTTTAGTGCACTTGGCAAAGGTGAAGCACATCTCGTATATGAGCTTTTGCAATTCATCAGATGTAAACCTGTGCTCGTCCCATAAAACATGGTAATGAGTAGGTTTGCTTGTACCTAGATTTCCATAGTAACTACAAAGGTAAAAGTCAAACTCAAAAGGGTGTATAACTTTTGTGTCCACAACTGTTCCTGGTAAAATATTGCCACTGGAAGATCCATCTCTCCAGCCCTCTGGAAAAAATCGAGTTTGATGTCGTTTTTGTGCTACAATTAGAGTGATTGTGGGGAAGTAGTTTTCTCTTTGGAAAACTCTCTTCAAATCTAGTAGTTCTTCATTAAGAACCATGTCAAACTGGTACTCACTCACCCCATCACGAAAAATAACAATTCTTTCGGGCCTAACTCCATTCATCCTCCTATAGCATGAAACAAGCTCAAGGCAAACTTCACCAAAGTTCAATATTTTCTCACTTCGATTGTATTGTGGGCATACACGTGCTGCATAACGATTTGCAGCAGGCCAGTTAACAGTAGCAACCACAGCAGCAATTGATGGACTCCTGGTATCTTGATAACCAGGATGGTTGACATCAGCCCCTAAAAACATAACGTGTCCTTCACCAACAAAGTAAGGGAGCCCATTACTGAGCTCCACGTTACTGCCTCCAAGCTTGGCATTGATCTTGAGAGCCAGATTAGTATAAAATTTGTCCTCTGCTTCATTAGCACCATTAGACAAGCAGCATT